CAGTGTAATGGCTTGTACTGCAGTGTAATGGCTTGTACTGCAGTGTAATGGCTTGTACTGCAGTGTAATGGCTTGTACTGCAGTGTAATGGCTTGTACTGCAGTGTGATGGCTTGTACTGCAGTGTAATGGCTTGTACTGCAGTGTAATGGCTTGTACTGCAGTGTAATGGCTTGTACTGCAGTGCTCGGTGGTACAAAGACATGTAGTTGTGGGCATGGTAGATGTCACTGAGTATCGTGACATTTTGAAATATTTAAAATATAAGACGGCGGATCTATAGTCTCAACTGTTTTTAATTACTTTATTGTACTATGTTACAATGATACTGTGATACTGAAGCAAAGTTAGCTTGGTTGCAGCGGGGAGCAACTGTTCTTTAAGAATCTGTTAAAATGACTGAAATTAGCTTGTATTTATTACTTCCAATGTGTCGAAGAAAATTCTGACATTTAAAATCGTTCCAAAAATAGAACCGATCTCTAAATAGCATTTAATATCCTACATTTGTTCTTTCTTTCTTGTTCACGAATGTACCACATTAGAAGATTAAGCTATGATTTATCATTAATTTGCATAAATGAAATAGAAACCAAATGTTTAGAAGCAATGGAAATGCCAATTAAAAACTTGAATTTTTCATTGAAAATATTCTGGAGATTAGCCCAATAATCTGTTTACAACTTTGAAATTGTGAGATTCTAAATTCCGGGTAATATATTATGAAATTTCATTGGTATTGAGATTTCTCTTACAGTATCTTGTGTGACAAACTATAGGTTTTCCGCCACAGATGCCGGAAGTGAGTGCGGACGCTGAGTCTCGGGTCCGGGGTTTGTGCCGGACCATCTCGGACCATTTGTGCGACGGTCGGCGCGGTGAAATTCTGAGGTCGGGAGTCCGTCTTTGTATCGTTGGCCGCCCCAACGTGGGCAAGAGCAGCCTGCTTAACGTCCTGCTGCAGCGACCTGCTGCCATCGTGTCGCCAATACCAGGTAGTTGTCTGGGCATCCATCCACTCGAGGTACACGCTTGCGTCCCTTGACTCGATCATCAGTCCAAACAACATTGTGTGCTATCCTAGCGAACATTTTACCAAGACTTAGTATTGACTAAGAGTCTGATCGATCTGAGCATTGGGTTCTTGGGTTGATCTATCTAAGCATTGGGTTCTTGGGTTGATCTATTTAAGCATTGGGCTCTCCAACGCGGTTTAGCGGCGCTCGTGAGATTCTCAAACGAATACCTATACCTGCTTGCAGCTCAGAACTCTTGTGTCTACTTGGTAGGTGAACTGAATTAAGTTGTTAGTTAATATTTGTATGAAACTTCAAATCAAATAGTAAATAAGCTCAACTTCATTGTAGAGAGGAACCATGAGAGAAATGAAGTTCAGTCTTCATACCGCGAGAGAAACCCTGAGTATAATCGTATGCAAACATGGCCTGCTGTTAGGGGCTCCTCGTTGATGTTGAACATCATGCGCTGCATTACGGAAGAAGAGAACATAGAAACAAACTCAAAAGTCGAGGTGATACGACATTAGTTCATTTGATACAATTTTCTTTAGCAGACGTTACTGATGGTACATTATTCGTGGCAGGAGTCCTAGTTATTGACGTGAAAGGAAGTATAAAGACAATCTTATAAGTGAAATCATGAATGGCGCTCGAAAACCAATAACCATGCATGGTCCAGTTAATGCCTCGGCTATGCTGGGTGCAGACGCATACAAATTCGTACTTATATCAACCGTATATCAAACAGCGTCAATCTGCCAGACAATAACCTTGTAGGATCGACGAAAAGAGTCCGTCTGAGTCTGATCCTCATTCAAATTACGGTTCAATTTACACCATCCCTTACGATAAATGTAGCCTATTATATAGGGCCTCAACGTAAAACGGCGATGATTGTACGCTTAATGCAAGTTCTATAGTAGTTAAAGGTTTTTATGCAAAGATATCCATTTTTAATATCTTTCACTCTCATGTTGTGGTCAGCAGTTTAATCTTTTCAATTCGATCAATATGTGCACGTGCTGGGAAACAGCAATCTTGGAAAATATCTGGCTCCATAACAGCTACCGTATGTCTCTAACTATACAGAAAAGTTTAGGCTATGTCGGTGGCACTCCTTCAATAGCGAATAATTTCATGCTGTAATGATTTAGGTGGCCGCCGTGGTTTAAAATTCTGAAAGCTTTCAATTTTCGTCTTTGTTGATATTAGAAAGTAAGGGATAACTAATAAATTCTCGAGCCCTTCGCGAGATAAATCGCATTATCCTTCAGGAAATCGCCAGAATGAACTAGTAAATACCACTTTTTCCGTACCTCCTTGTTACTGGAGTAATACAAGTGGCCATCCTAATCTGTTCCTATGTTTAGGTTGTATTCTTCATATCTCATTTTTTCATTATTGTATTAATTCGATAAAAGGAATATCTATCGGGACCGGAGGTCATACTCCCTTGCGGTGATGTGGTTGAACGCGATACACAAAACGAAGATAACCATAACAGGATTTGCGGTGATGTGGTTGAACGCGATACACTAAACGAAGATAACCTTAACATGATCTGTGATGATGTGGTTGAACGTGATACACTAAACGAAGATAACCATAACAGGATCTGCGGTGATGCGATTGAACGTGATACACAAAACGAAGATAACCATGACAGGATCTGCGGTGATGTGGTTGAAAGCGATACACAAAACGAAGATAACCATGACAGGATCTGTGATGATGCGATTGAACGCGATTATAGAAAAGTTAACAAGTCCAATGTGATGAAATGTGCCAAAGAAAATAAATTGGTCGTGAATGAAGGCGATAAACTTGACGGTGTTGGTGATGATCTCCGCAAACACGATCCTGATTGTAAGCTAAACGTTGATATTAAACGTCAAGAATCCTGGAAATCACTGTCGAGCACAGTTACAGAATTATTGGCCGAATTATTCCAAGAAAATCTTCGTTTGATGCGATGGTTTCAAGAAAATAATTATGTAGTATTGTTGAATAAGACTGACTTATTAGAACCTCAAGATAAGGCTTACCTTCTTAATTATTTGTCATGTTACATTAGTTATGGCAAGTGTGATAAAACTTCGTCGACTTGTTTACATCACACTCTGGGTGTGAATTCCACTCGCTCATCCTTCTCGGGGGCATCTAAAGATTCTACAAGGAATGGTAATGAATTATTGCCTTGCATCCTTCGATGCGATGCTGAGGTTAAAAAGAATATTTCCGTAGATAAATCCGCTATAAATGTTAGGGATAATTCTCAGTGTTTCCTATGTGTACCATCCTCATTATTGCACGAGGAAGGGGTAGAGTCTCTCCTCTCCTCCCTGGCTTGTCTGTGCGAACGTCTTTGCTGGAACCGACAAGAAAATGAAGCCCCGGCCATCACTTCAGCCCGACACAGAGCCCACCTCTCCGCTGCCCTCAAATCCTTGCTACTCTTGCTCGGTGAGCAGCGATTGCATCGGCAGTTGTGTGGGGATACAAGCCAGAATTTATCCTCACGAAATGGTGTTAAAAATAGTGATTTGTTGCTTAAATGTAATAATGATAATATGTCATCATCTAATGAAAGTGCAGTGAATTATTTGCCATCAAATAGTTCTAATGTGAACTTACTCGCGCATGAGTCAACTTTGGATGTAGCCGCTCATCATTTGTTCGTGGCAGCGAGACACCTGGGGCAAATTACCGGCCACATCTCCACCGAACAAGTTCTTGACCAAATCTTCAGCGAGTTCTGCATCGGCAAGTGATGTCCCAGGACCCGCATTCCACCAAATATCTATTGATGAAAGTTGGGACTGTAAATGCCAAATCTTCAGCGAGTTCTGCATTGGCAAGTGATTTCCCAGGACTCGCATTCCACCAAATATCTATTGATGAAAGTTGGGACTGTAAATGCCTGTTTGTGCTGCAGCGAAACTGATGTGGGCGAGTAATGGCGTACGAAGTTCTCTACTTACGTGTTAAATCTCACGAGGCTGCGACACAGACAGTTATGGCGCTCAATCTGAGATATTTTATTTTTAATTCAGGCGTAGTGTAAGGCAACGCCAGTTTTCTGTGGACAAAGTAAGCGATGGCCCAATACAATGAAGCGTGCTTTTGTAGTTCATACGGTTTCTGTGAAGAGATAAAACAATTTCACAATGAAAAGTGAAGCACCTCAACGGCATTATAAATGAATTAATTAGTATTCAGTTGAGTGAACTATGAAATCTTAAATTCGCAATAAAAGATGGTCAAACAGCCATGAGTCCATGACATTCTTCAGGACCCACCGGAGAACGTGGTTCAAACTTCTATGCTTCAAAAATGGCCAGCCTAACAGGCTGCAGGAAAGACTGACCGTTAACACGTGTTGCTGTTTTAAGAAGGTCTGACATATTTCTGATTACTGGGGAACTTCTGGCTTATGGATGCTATTAGGTAGTAGGATATGATCATGGTTGAACTAGTATAAGGTTGACCCATCAGAAGCCCATTTTTGCGGATGTAGTTAGTTCTTCGCCTGTGACGGCACTGATCTCAGTGACGTCACGAGCATTAACCAATCACCGAAATGCGATCAAACCACTCGACCAATCCGTCATGGGAATGACGGGTTTGTTTACGTTTCTCGACCTCAGTGACGTAACAAGAAAGCTGAACTGAAAGACGGAACTTCTCGTGGGCCAACCTTATATAGTTCAACCATGGGATATGATCATTGATGGTCACAGGATGAAACGAGACCTCAACGCGGAGTGGCAGAATTTGTGAAAAGCCTTAAGTGGGGTATTCTATTTATTGGGTTATTGAGATTGTCTATATTTGTGCATACTGACAGCTGACATTGTTGACGTGAATAGTTTCACATACGTAGTGTAATGAATGATATTTTTCCGCTTGACCAACCCTGCATCAAATACCGTCGCACATCCTGCATATGATGGATGTGCGATGATACAAGTAGAATGAAAAATTTCATCTAATCGCTTTCCTTCGAATTTCAAACCGCCGAATGTTGCGGCTGGTAAATCATACATTTTTTTTTGCAGCTGCAAGAATTTTGCGTAAAATTTTCGATTACAACTTTTAGTTCTTTTTCGTTTACGGTAGATGACGCCACACGTTTACACAGTAGATGACGCGAGCGACGTTTACGGTAGATGACGCCACAAAACTCCCGTTTCAATTACGCGACTTCAAAGTTAAGAATAAGTTTTAACTTACCTTGTGATCGTATTAGGCACTTCTCAAGCAGTGATAATAGCATGGTCCGTGGCATTACTTTGACCCGCAATTTACAGAAGAAGTATTTGCTGACATTTATGGCCGGGCACTTTGATGCTTTGATGTTAGCTCACGAGGTAACTTGCATACTCGTCCAACTCAAATCGTGTGTTCAATATAAACCAATTCCCACGTCGCAGCACATCACGTCAAGCCTCGTGGTTGCTGCCTCTGTAACATCTCCTCTACAACACGGGTAACTCCACGTGCCTCTCTCATCAACACGTGTAACCGCACGTGCTTCTCACTACGCCACGTACAACTTTACGTTCTTCTATGTACGCCACGTGCGACTCCACGTGCTTCTATCTATGCCACGTGCAACTCCACGCGCTTCTCTCTACGCCACGTGCAACTCCACGTGCTTCTCTATACGCTACGTGCAACTCCACGTGCCTCTCTAAAAAACAAGTGTAGCTCCACGTTCTACTATCTACGCCACGTGCAACTCTACGTGCTTCTCTGTACGCCACGTGCGACTCCACGTGCTTCTCTATACGCCACGTGCAACTCCACGTGCTTTTCTATACGCTACGTGCAACTCAACGTGCTTCTAGGTGCCACACACCGCGTCTCCTAGTTCGTCCCGTGGCTGCCATTATCAACCAGATCGCGTGGGCTTAATATTGTTCAGCTCCAGATAAATTAACTGTTTATTTTAGCCGAACATTTTTATCTCACCTATTCTTTCATTTCCATCCGTCTCATTTAAGTCCTAAATGCGGATGCCTATATGTTGTGAGTATCTTTTACCATAAAAAATCTTGATTGATCACTAGCATTCCAATCATTGGCCGTAATTAAATATATTCTCTGAAATGGAGTAAAACGAATTATATGTGGACGGCAAAATAAACCCATCTCAAATGTCCATGTCACAAGTGTTATAATTATGAAAAATGAATGAATTATTATAAATGGGATAATGAAATTGATTAACTTGTATAGAGAATTTATTTATTTGCATAAATGACAGTAGTGATCGCCTCGGCCCTCACCATTTGCACACACCAATGCAGTGGACGGCTCAACCCTAGCCATTTGTGCCCACACCTTCTTACTGTCGTCGCCGTGAACGTTGCACCTTCACCACTGCCACCTCAGCCGTAAAATTTTCCTCCACCGCTGTTGCCACCTCCACCTTGAACACCGTAAACCTTAACAACACCTCCGCCACCATTTCCAACGAAAGTTTTTCCTCCATTTCCACCGTGAACGCCGTAGACTTTAACCACACCTCCTTCCCTGCCACCTCCTCCGAAGGATTTTCCTCCATTTCCACCTCGAACGCCGTAGACTTTGACCACACCTCCACCACCTCCACCGAAGGTTTTTCCTCCATTTCCACCTTGAACGCCGTAGACTTTGACCACACCTCCACCATCTCCACCGAAGGTTTTTCCTCCATTGCCACCTTGAACGCCGTAGACTTTGACCACACCTCCTCCTGATCCACCTCCACCGAAGGTTTTTCCTCCATAGTGACGTAAACCAATCAGAACTCGAGTTGCGCATACGGTGATCTATTTATAGCCATTTATTTCTTGCTACGTCCTTAAGGTGTCGGAATATGGTGTGTTTACCTCTAAATATGGATAGATAATTGCTTTTTAGTTTACAAGTCAATCGACATAATTTACAAATAAATAATCATCCATAGTTTATACATTGTGGTTTCGTTTTTATTTCAATTGAGAACCCCAAATTCTGTGATCAGTTAAGAAATTCTGTGATCAGTTAAGAAATAAATAAATCTTAATTTGCATTAAGATGAGTCAATAAAATGTTCTGAAGCTGCTCACTGGCACCATTCCTCAACGAAACATTCAGAATTATTAGTTAATCTTAAACATATAACAGAACCATGTCTAAGTCAAAAGTAAAGCGAAACCAATTGGTGATGCAGAGTGAAATTAATTTTCAATTATTGTTAGTCAACTAATTCAGTCTGGTACATGTCTTGAAGAACCAATAGATCGTCTACCGCAGTCTGAAAATTAGTAATGGCGTTCATTAACGATAAGGAGTATTGCACCATTTAGTTTTTATTTCAGTTGACATCTTCCTCAGCTGATTCATTGATTGCTCCTAGACTTTTCAGAGTTACTTCAGCGGTTTGTTGGTCAGCTGTTATGAACCTATCCAGGTTTCCGGTGACTGCCTCTCAATTGATTCCGTTAGAAAAGAAATTTGAAACATAAAAGAAAACTTCGCAGTTTTGCGGGTCAAATCGCTTGCACGAAAATGTCTGATCTGTGAGCAGGATCTTCAGCCCTTCAGTTGATAGCCACTAGTGCTACTGATGCTTCCCCCCACACGCATCTTTTCTTCATAATTAACATTGCGGTCTACGAATGTTAGTGCCTTGTTGCAGCTTCCCTTAGGTAGTACTACAGAAGACGAGCATAGGCATCAAGTGCGGCATTCCTGAACCATTGGAATGAAGTAACTGCACAAACTGTCCTAAAATTAAAATTATCTGGAACAACTATTGACTATGAAATGTAACAATATGCTTGCATGGTTTTTTAATGGAAAAACACTGAAAAAATGCACTGTCTTCTTTAGTCGTTAATTTAAATTGAATGGAGGACAATATCATATAAACTGTTCATACGTTGGCATTCCAACTCGGTGAAGCATATGTTGACGGGTATGGACCTCATCTCTTTGAGAGGTGACCTTCTTTGGCCGGTCCGATCCCTCGATTTGACTCCGTGTGATTTTTTCATGGGATTTTCTTAAATGAATTGTTAACAATGACTGTCCAAGGCACCAACCTCATTTGAAGAACAACACACTGCAAGCCATCGCCAACATAACCGTCAATCTGTTCCAGCGAGTTGAACACAACTGCAAAAATCAACTAGGTGAATTCATTAACATTAGGGGCCGTCATTTAACCGATGTCATCTTTGAAACTTCGTGATACAAAAATTCAGGTAATGTCTTCTTCGATAAATTTAAATTGTAATGATATATTTTCTCGATCTTTATTATGGAGCTTTCAAATCAAGAATTTTCCGTGAATTGCCCCTGCATTAAATCAAACTTTTTACCACAAAAAGTGGACCAGCCTAACAAGCATGTCCCGCAAAGTTGAAAGATTAGAAATGAGGTTGGTTTATTTCAATTTCGTGATGATGGACGGACAATTCAGACACGATAAATTATTATGAGACGTTGCAAAAATTTCTTCCATTACTTTCGAGTTAGCTACAAATTATTGATCTTACACTAAATGTGATCAATAACTGATCATATTGAAGTCATCAATAAAAAATTTTGTAACGGTACGTTAACAGAGGCAATATTATAAACAAAATGTAATTCGCGCAGAAAAAAAATGTTCAGTCACTAGGGAAATAATCATAATATAACACAATTAAATACTCAGGAGCTCAACTTTCAGGAGCTTTAGGTGATGCGACACCGATAAAAGATCGAAGCGTGATCCATTTTTTTGAGGGGCAGTAACAACATTGCGCTAGTAATTTTTAATTACATACCCAACTATTTCGACGTAATGAAACGTATTTCGTTCTCCAACCTTCTCTGAAATTTTATGCTGGTGGAATGCGTGTTTGTGACTCGAATATTCGTACGTCAGTAACAAAATATG